AAATATCACATGGTTTCTCTTACATGAGAAATCTGAAGTATAAATAAATTAAAGAGCAAAATAAAAGACAGATAATGGAAAACAAAGAGACAGATCTTTTTCAAATGGGAAGGGGAACAAGAGATGGAAGGAGGGAGAGGGAGAAAGGAGAAAGAGGCATTAAAAAATTAAGATGTACTATATACACATAGCAATTCCCCACAATGAATATAATCACTATGCACTGCAAACATATACCAATAAAGTGTAATTAAAGAGCAAAATAAAAGTTAGGTAACAGGAAATAGGGAGATAGAACTTTTGCAAATGGGAAGGAGACCAAGAGTTGGAGGGAGGTAGAAGGGAGGAAAGGGGAAGAGAAAAAAACACTAACAGCCTTAACTTAGCTTGTAAGTAGGGCAACAATCTCAGACCTTTCAGATCTTGACAATACATGAATAAATGAATGAATGAGGGGGAAAGGGAAAACCTCTGCCTATAGCTGAATGCTAAATAATAAATGTAGAAATAGACTGGAGTTACAAAATCATTAATGAAAGTTAAAACTACTAGGTGATATTGGATTAGGAAAAGGATATTTACACAGTCTCAAAGTGTCTTCTCACAAATTACTCATCAATTATGAGGAAAAAACAGGAACTTTAAGTAGAGAAATTACCACCATTAACCAAGTGATCAAAGTTAAAATCACCAATACTGGAACAAATAAATATCATGTACTCCTTGGTATTGATGCACTGAGGACACAATTCTGTGGTATTCCTCCTAAAAGTGCATACCCTAAATCTAATTATAAGGTAATATCGAGCAAACTCAAAATGAAGGATCCTTCCCAAAACAAATGGTCTTATATCTGTGGTGGCGAACCTATGACATATGCGCTGCAGTGGGCTGTCTGTAGCATTGAAAGCTCTAAAAGGCTCACCAACACTAGCCTATATTCTTAAAAAATATCACAGGCAAGAAAGAAAGAGAAAGTGTGAGAAACTATTCCAGAACAAAGGACACTAAAGAAACAAGACAACTAACTACAATGTACGATCCTGGATTAGATCACGGATTAGAATTTTAGGCAACAGCCAGGTGTGGTGGCACATGCCTATAATCTCAGCATTCTGGGAAGTTGAAGCTGGAGGATCACAAATTTGAGCCTAGCCTGGGCAACTTAGCAAGACCATGTCTCAAAATAAAAAGGGCTGGGCATACAGCTCAATGCATTCAATTCAGGTCCTGCATTCAATTCCCAGTATCATGAAAGAAAGAAAAAAAAAGAATTTTAGGAAATAACTACCAAGGACAGTATTAGAATGATAAATTTGAATATGGACTATATTCACAATAATGCTGAATCAATGTTAAAATTTCTAATTTTGATATTTAAGGTATAATTATATAAGTGGTTTTTATTCCTAGTAAATAAAAACTAAAGTATTTAGTAGTAAAGGGACATAATATCTCCAACTTACCTCAAATAGTTTAGAAAAAATTATTTATATATATGTATGTGTGTTAAGCATATGAATGTGTGTGTAAATATAATGATAAAGCAAATATAACAAGTGAATCTAAAGGCCATATAGAAGTTCTTTATATTATCAAGGCTTCTCAAAAATTGTTATCAAAATTAAAAGTTACCCTCCCCTGACAAAAAAATAAATAAGGCAAAAGAGTTGTCTTGATTATGTTACATACTGAACACATTCTTGAGATAAAACACAAAACATGGGCAAAGGGTTGCATTTTCAACTTCAAGATACCATGTAGCAAATACAACTACTTGAATTGTGTATATGCATGTATACATGTAAGTTTACATGATCTATACACACATTTGCATACAAAAACATACACATATTTCAAATGTCAGCTCTAGTGAAACTTGGATTCATTTAAGTTTAGGTCCAAATCCCAGAGCTATCATTTTTTATTGGCTAATTTTAGGCAAGTTACTAAACCTCCCTGTGTCAATTTCCTAATTTTTAAGACACAGGCAAATAATACTTTCTAATGAGGTTTTTGTGGCAATTTCAAAGGATGACACATGTAAAGAACTTAACACACTCAGAATGCAAATGCTGTGCTTCATTTTTTTAGAAACAAGTATCAAGAGAAAAAAATTTTTTTTTAAGTTTTGGTAGTGGGGATTGAACCCAGGGTCTCAGAATGCTAAGCATGTGCTCTGCCCCTGTGCTATACCCCTGGCCCATAAAAATTGTTCTTTAACTTAAACAATAATTCACTGAATGTCAAATCTCTTCTGATACTGAGGTTATGATATACCTCTTACCAGTCTAAAAGCAAATGGGGAGGGAACTGTGAGTCAAAGAGAACCAGCTCAGAGTGTGTAAACTAAAAATTAAAATGTATAAGAAACAGAATTCCTCTTTACAACCAGAATCCATTACAATATTTTCAGAATACTGTATTAAAGAATACATTATATAATTTAATGTGTTAAATATTAAACTTTTACATTTATTATTTTTTAATGTATTAAATGATTCATTAAAGAATGTGAAAGTACCTTTGGTTCTGCTTGGTTTAGAATGTGTATGTTCAATAGATGAGATTTAGAGATTTTTGTTTTGTTTTGTTTTGTTAGTTTTTGTTTTTTGAGACAAAGTCTCACTATATAGTTCAGGCTGGCCTTGAGCTCAATATGTACCCCAGAGGCCTTAAACTTTTGGCTATCCTCCTGCCTCAGCCTCCCAAGTGGTGTGATTACAACTGTGTGCCACATTGCCTGAGATTTAAATATTTTTTAAAAGCATCCTTAACATCTTTTTGAATTTCCACATGACAGAATTACCTAATCACATGCAATCTCCAAGCATTTATACAGTCATACTTAATAGAATCTTACTAATTAAGATACTAAAGGTAAGAGATTCTGTCATTTATCAGAATTTATCTACTGAAATGCCTTTATAGGCAGAACTCACAGTCAACTATAAATCAATAGGGAAGAACTGAGACCACACTGATTAGACCTGAAAACTACCTAAGGCATCCAATTCAAGTTTTATTTCATTTTTTTTTTAAATACTGTGCTCCACTTATTCGGCCCCAGTTTAGCTAAAGGGACATCTGTTTTAATTTTTGAATTTCAGAGATGAAGCCCTTTAGGACATTTATATACACACACACTTATATGAATAGACAGTGTTTTTTTGTTTGTTTTTTGTTTTGGTACCGGGGATCGAACTCAGGACTCTGCACTTGTGAGGCAGGCGCAGTGCCACCGAGCTAAATCCCTAGCCCTACACAGTGTGTTATAAAAGATAATACAAAGAAAAATTTCTGAAAATGAACTATGGTTAGCCCCTGAAAACCTCATGTGTTTGGAAGGTGATTGGAAGCACTATACTTGGACTGGGGCCTGGTTAGAGGATCACTGGGGTCATAACCTGGAAAGGTGTTATCTCCCTGCCTGGCTCCCCTTCGCTCTCTGCTTCTTGGCCATCATGATACAAGCAGCTTTCCTCTGCACCAGGCCCTTCCGCCATGATGTTTCTGCACTGGAACCTGCCAACCATGGACTGAAACTTCTGAAACTGTGAGCCAAAATAAGCCTCTCTTTTAATTTATGGGTGTCAGGTATTCTGTGCCGATGATGAAAAAGTGACTAAGATATGAATACTCATGCACATCAAAAACATGAGATTTTTCAATGACTTCCAAAAGGCAGTCATATAATTAAAGCTATCTTAAGGTGACTATCTCTCCTTCTTTGTACTCTTAAAATATACTTTAATATATCATAATATATATTTTAAGACTCCTAACAACCATGAGATTTTTAAATTTCATGACTGATGAAACAAAATTTTTAGGGTCAGGCTTGGTGATACAAATCTGTAATCATGGCTGCTTGGGAGGTTGAAAAAGGAGGATTGCAAGTTCAAGACCAACCTGGGCAACTTAGTAAGATCCTATCTCAAAAATAGTATAAAGGTCCAGGGATGTAGAAAGTACTGGGGTTCCAGTGGAGGATTTAGCTCAGTGGTGCCACCACCTGCCTCGCAAGTGCAAGGTCCTGAGTTTGATCCCCAGCACCAAAAAAAATAAATAAATAAAGTACTGGGGTTCGATCCCTAGTACTGCCCCCTAAAAAGAAAAAAAAGTAAAAATACCTTTATATTGGTTACAACTATGTACCCATGAAATAATTTAATTATTACTAAAACACTGAAAATTATTGAATTTACCACTAAGAAGTTTGGTCTAAATACCTTGATTGAAAACAATTAATTTGTATTTGCATTCATTATAAAGCAACCTCTATCCTATATAATACCTATCAGGTACGTTTTGTGGTTTTTTTTGGTACCGGGGATTGAACTCGGGTCCTTGTGCTTGCAGGGCAGGTGGCAGAACCACTGAGTTAAATCCCCAGCCCTGGCAAGTTTTTAAAATATTTTAAATAGCAGAGTATACTGAGGTGAACAATATTCAAGGCCTCCAAAGTATTCTCTTATCTACTAGATTCCCTAGCATTTCCATTATTATTATATTAGAACATTAAACATTTTTATATGTTTTATCTTCTCTGTTATACGTTGAACTACATAATGACAGAAATCATGCCATCTTCATCTTTACCCTATCAATAAGCATTTTGAGCCTGTTCAGAAGGTGTTTGGAAAAAAAATCCCTGAGAAATTTTCCTTTTCCCAAGATAATAATGATCTCAAGATAAACTCTTTCAAATTCTAACATGAATTAAGCTCTCACATGATTGAAATTATTACACTTGATTTTAGCCAAAAGGCCAAGAAGCGATGATAACTGAAATTATTGTACAGAGAGGTTCTAACAGTATCAATATCAGGTTATGTTAATATCTAAGCAATAGTATTTTCAGATAAACATTGCAATAACTTTATAATCTTTTGAGGAAGTAAAACTTAAAGCATGTTACTTAAGCTAAAGTTTAGATTTAAGCATCTGAGAAAAAGATAAGTTTTTGGAAAGTATTATGTACAATCATGAAATCTTACCTGAGGATTCCAACCTGGGTCTAATTTTTTAACTACTGCGATATATTCTTGCATTGCTTGGGTGGGGCTTGAGTCACCAAGAGCTTTCCATGCTTCCCTACAGTACAGAACATCCAAATGGCCTGTCATTAACTATGTAAATAACACAACATATTTTTTTATTATTAAAAATTACAAATATATTTCAAGGGACTGGGGAGATACAGATAATAAGCTATGAAGAAAGAAAGAGCCCTCTCTATTTGCATTTACATTGATCTATAGCCTTACAAACCTTATCACTCCACCTAAGATGCCTTTGGGAAATTTTTTGTGATTGCCCACTCCTGCAGAATTTTAATAACAGATATACTGCATATCTATGAATTTTGGAAGATCACAAGCCACTGTAACCTAAGACTTTAATCAATCCCTTAAACCTAGTTTTTACCCCTAATAAGAACATATGTATGGTCTACAGAGCAATAAAGGTAGTTCTCATCCTGTAAATTAACTCTGTTTATGGCATTTTGGTCATATGGAAACCAATCATCACACAAGAAACAATATTCCCTGGAGGAAAGTGTATCAAACTTCTTACTATAGACTCCAGAAATACACTTTCTCCTTCTGTTCTTATTTATCTATAAACTACACGGTGCAAGCAAATTATAAAGTAAATGTTTAAATAAAATTTATTACAGTAAAAGGTGCATTGGCAATATTCCCCCTCAAAATGCTTCCCACTGTTTGAAACAGATTTCTATGATCAGTCTTGCTACTTTTTAAAGCAATTCTGGAAGTTCTCTTTTGTGTCTCTATAAGAAATGATAAAAAATATGGTGAATGCTGCTGCCAAGTGCCATCCAATGGAAAAGGAGGATCCTAAAAACATCATGGATATATCCTCATCTACCTTCTGACTCTTCCTCAAATTCAAAATGACCATGAAGGGTAAAAGTTTTGCATAGATTTAGGACATTAAGGCAGCCATGACAGTGCAAATAAAGACTCATGATAAAGAACTTCCTGAACTGCTTCAGAAAGTGGCACTAATGACGGGATGTGTGTTCAAAGTAAGGGGGAGGATTCTGAGGGAGATTAATGTCAATGTGTCTTTTACATAACAAATATTTTTAAAAATTTAAACATTCATTGGGTTTTTCCATCAGACTTAATGGATTTTGAGGCCTCAGTTAGGCACTTCAAAAATGAGGGATAGTAAAAGCAAAATTAAGAATACAAATGCGTAAGAAGGTAGGAGCTAGGCATGGTGGTGTACGCCTGTAATCCCAGCACTTGGGAGGATGAGGCAGGAGGATCACTGGGAGTTTGAGGCCAGCTTGGGCTAAATAGTGAGTTCAAGACCAGCCTGAACTACATAGCAAGATGCTGTCTCAACAAAGAAGAGGAAGGAAAAGGAGAAGGAGAAGAAAAAGAATTTCCAGCCATACACTAGGTATAATCAAAAAATATGGTGAAGTTTAAATTTTTAAAAATTATATTATAGTAAAAGACACATTGTCATAATGCCCCTCAAAATACTCTCCCCTCCCATTTATCTCATCATTCTTACTACTTTCTGAAAGCAGTTCGGCAACTCTTCTTTAGTGTCTTTAGTTGTGTTGTCATGACTGCTCAACATCCTGAATCCATTCAAAATTTAACTTTCATGGTCATTTTGACTTTGAGGAAGAGCCAGAAGTTGCATGGTGCTAGACCCAATGAACAAATTGAATGAGGAAACAGCGTTAAAGTTTTTATGAGCCTGCCTTTCCACTGGATGACACTTGGAGGCAGCATTTTTCATCATGCCACATAAAGACAAAAAAGACTTCCAGACTGCTTTAGAAACCAGCAAAAATGAGGAGATAAATGTGTTTGAAGCAAGGGGAATTAACTGGCAATATGTCTTTTACTATAATATTTAAATATTCACCATATATTTTGGTTACTTCTTGTACCAAGAACATTTTAGTCCTAAGACCCCTTTTGAGTCAACCTTTCCTACCTTCTTCCCTCCCTCCTTCCCTCCTACCATTTTTTCTTCCTTTGTAGGGTGCTAGGCCAGGTCTCCATCTTGGTTTTTCTCTACCAGCTTTTTCTACTGCCAATCAAAGTTTCTCTATTTCCCTGATCCACCAGAACAGAACACAGCCCCATAGTTTTTTTCACTACCCTCCTGCTCCTATGATGAATACAACATATTTCTGAAGTTTTATAGACAAATTTTTGCTGAATCTCTTGACAATTACTTGTATGCATTGTAACACCTCATCCCTAAATATCTGAGCTTATGTCAAACTCAGGAAATTTATAATAAATACTACAATATAGAGACCAAATAATTCAGATTTCCTGATTGTCCCAACAGGACAATCAGTGTCCTGTTTGGCTTTCTTCTTCTAGACCAGGAACCAGTTAAGACTCACACATAGCACTGAGTTTCATGTATCTTTAGCTTTTTCATTTTCCACAACATTGCCATTTTTTAAAAGTTAAAACCAATTATTTTATAAAATACCCCTCATTTTAGATTTGTCTGATTATTTTCTCTCACCTATATAGTGTTTATACCAAAAGTAATTAATCATGATTATAATCAGGTTAAATATTTTGGCAAGAGCAATACAGAGAGGATGGCAATGCAGCCCAGCGGTAGAACAATTGTACGGCATTTGTGAGTCCCTGAATTTGATCCATAGCATGAGTTGGGGGGGGGGGGCAAAACAGAGGTGACAAGGCCTGTACAATGTATCACACAATTATCAGTTTGTCCCATCACTGACACTGGTAAGTTGGTAATGGCAGTATCTGCCAGTTAAAATAACTATGGGCTATGCTATGTAAATATTGTTCTCCAATAGCTCTTTATAAAATCTTTTAACAGTGATGATTCTTGCCTGAATTATTATTAGAGTACTTGTAAAATCTAAGCATTTTTTAAATTGCTAAAAGCAACACAGAAAACAGCCAGAGCATAGAGAGAAAATAATGGTATATATTTAGTCTTTCCTCTCAGGCTCTTTCCTTGGTCTCTGAACGCTGAATAGTTTTCTCTGCCATGCACTTCTAACACCATGCTTCTGCTTTGGAGCCAGCTAACCATGGACTAAAACCCCTAAAACTGGAAGCCAAAATAAACATTTTCTTCTTTAAGTTGTATACATCAGGTATTTGTCACAATAATAAAAAGTTGACTAAAACAGGTTCCTTATTGTACACAATTTCTCTTTTTTCACTTATTATCAGGTACAAAAAAAACCCCCTTATAGTTTACACCTAAATGTCCCCCAAGAGCCTTATGTGCTCACAGTAGGGCTTGTGGAAGGTGACTGGGTTGTGAGAGTGATATGGATGATTTGCTGTTGGAAAGTGGGGCCTGGCTGGAAGAGATGGGTCACTGGGGTTGTAACCTGGAAGGGCATATCTCCCTCCCTGGCTGTTCCCTTCTCTCTCTGCTTCCTGACTGCCAGGATGTGAGCAGCTTTCCTTCCCCACCCCTTCCCCTAGCACATCCATCATGCCTCTTGTTATGCCTTGTATCTAGATGTTTCCCCTAAAGCCTCTGATGCAGTCACAGGTGGGGCTTTTCAGAGGTGGCTGGATTTAGAGTGTGTGATGCTGGGATTAAGTGTGTGATGCTGAGATGAAGGGTGTGTGATTATTAAATAAGCTTACTGATTGGTTTGGCATAGTGCTGAGAGTGGAAAATGGGAAGGCCCTCTCTGGATGTGAGTGCCACTCACCCTAAGGGTGGGTAACTTGGTAGAATATAAGGGACTGAAAGGGCTGCTGAAAGGACTTCTTTGCTGCTTTGCTGCCTTCTGCCCACATGAACTGTTTCTCCTTTGCAATGCCCCTCTGCCATGCCACCCTGCCTTGGAGTCAGCCAATTATGGACTGAAACCTTTACAAACTAAAGGTTTATTACAAAATAAACCTTTGCTCCATTAACTTTGAGTGTCAGGTACTTGTCTTAGCAACAAGAAAACTAACGAAGACACTGCTTTTACCTATAAAGAAATGAAACTTCTAAAACATGAGTCAAAATAAATCTCTCCTCAAGTTGTGGGTGTTGAATATTTTGTCTCAGTGAAGAAGAAAGTGACTAAGACAGACCTGATAAATGATATGAGGGAACCTCTGAACTGTAAAATTTTAAGAACTTAGGTGATTATAATCCTCTTCTTATTATAAGCTTTTTGCCTGTGGTGTGGATGGAGCAAGGGACAAAGACTATTGAGAAACAAGGAACTAACACAGGGGAGAAGAGGACAAAATAAGGATTAATCCTGTTCTTCTCCCCTCCCATTTTCTTGACTAGTCAATGATGTCTCCAGATGGGAAAAGTGGTGATCCATTAGGTTCTGTATGATATGAAAGAAAAATCTTAAACAATAGCTCTGACAGGTACACTCATACATATTCCTATGTAAAGAATGTATGTCTACTGTGATCTACTTATATACCAACATCATTGCATAAGAATCCTTTAGGAGATCAGCTAAAAGCAGATTCTTTTAATCCTTCCTCCAAATGCCTGTCCTTAGCAAAGTCTACAACAGAAAGATTAACATAAAATAATTCTTTAATCTGCTCTCTACTTTCTAATTCCTAAACATCTAAATCTCTTCCAACAACCTTATTAAAGATTCCAAGAATGATTTAGGTATGGTGGCACATCCCAAGCACTGAGGGAGTCTAAGGCAGGAGGATGGCAAGTGTTAGTCTAGCCTGGGATACTTAGCAAGACTCTCAAAATCGAAAAAAAAATTTTAAAGGGGCTGAGGATGTAGTGGAAAGATCCAGGATCCCCCCACTACAAAAACAAACAAACAAAAAAACAAAAGGATTCCAAGAATTTCTTACCATTTTTGCTTTCCTTCAAAATCAAAAAAGCTTGGTTTAGGAGTATTACAATTTCCAACTGTGACCTAAATAAGGAGAGGAAAAAAGTCAAGAACTTATTTTTCATCGATATGTCTAAGAACTTTTTCTTTTCAAATTTATTATGTATATTTAGCAACTATAAGTTAAAAAACATTTCATAATATAACAAAATTTAACATCCTTTGGTAAACAAATGAAAACCACAAACAAATCAAATGTTAAATACAGGCAGCTTGGACTTACTGCATAAAATAATTGTTATCTAATATTAATATAGAAAAATATGAATGACAAATACTTTCATTCCTTAATAAACTAATTGTAAGATAAATTATAGATCACAGTCTTTATTATCATTATAATAGAGAAAAATTTTTGACATGCAATTAACAAACTTAAGGTTCAGATTTTCAGAATTCATATGAATGTCTCTTCATGCTGATTCTACTAACACTATTAGCATTTTGTATCTCCCCAAATTTAGGATGAAGTGTATTATTTTAAAAGTACCTATTATGAAACTCATCAATATAAATTTAGATGCTAAAAACAATGCAAAAAAATTTCAGGGGTTCTCAGCAACAATATAAACTCTATTCCACAATAATCTCTTGTTTGTGGTCCATGATTGTCTTTATTTATTTATTTATTTTTTGAGGCAGTGTCTCACTATGAGGTTCAGGTTGGCCTTGAACTCACAGTGATTCTCTTGCCTCAGTCTCCTGAGTGCTGGGATTATAGGCATGTGCCAGCATGCCTAGGTCAATGAATATTTCTAGCACTCAAATGACATTTGTAATTAAATTACAGATTATTTTCACTGTGAATATGCATAAATGAAATTTGCACAAATGCAGAATTTACTACATAGCCCTTGATTGTCACTACCAGAAGTAATCTCCATCCCTCATGAAGTCTTAATAGCATTTATCTATTTACATATTTCTTTTGACATTTTTATGTTTTCTATCTTGTTTCAGAAAGTGTTGTGTAAAGTCTTATCTTTCTATTAGAACATAGCCTCTAAGAAACCGTGCTTGACTTACCCACAGCACTTTCTTCTTAGGGACTTCCCATTACCTTCTACTACTCTTGCACACTTGAATTTTGCTAAAATCAAATCAATGCTGTCATCTAACCATAATGTTCTACTCAATGACATAGGGATTTTTAATTCTGTTTTGTTCACATTACTCCATTCACGCAAAATGCCTTCTCTTTTTCTCTCAGTTTTTCAAAAGACTATACCTCCTACCAGTCTTGTTCATAGTTCAGATTTTAAGAAGCCTTTTAGTCTATATAATTTCATTTACTTCTAAATTCATAAACTTTATCACCTCTATCATTTCCTTAGCAATTAATCACATGGCTATAATTAAAATATATACTTTTATAGAAGCAGCCCTGTTATGACGGAAAGGAGGAAAGGAAGAGTAAGAAAAAAGATGCTGCACTTCTTAAAATGTCACCATAGACCAAATGTTTCATGTTATCTCAACGAGCCCCACAATAATCCTGTGACGGTACACCATTACAAACATACTTTGTAAATAAGGACAAAGATGTTCAGGATGGTTGTCTCAGTTAACACATTAGTAAATCTTAAATCAGTAGTATTTGAATTCGGGACTATCTGAACACAAAGTTCATTCAAAAGGCTGAGGCAGGAGGATCGCTGTAAATTCGAGGCCAGCCTGGGCTACACAGTGAGTTCAAGGCCAGTCTGAACTACATAGTGAAACCATCTCACAAAAACAAAAAACAAAAAGGGGGAATGGGGACCTTGTCCTCTCTTTTTCTTTGCCTTGACTAGAATATGCATTTGGTGAAGGTAAGCCTCTCTGGCCATGACAGAGAAACTTATAGCAGCAGTTTTCAAACTTGTGGGTTTTATAATCCTTTATAATCCCTCAGAAATTACAGACCCTAGAGAACTTTTGTTCCTGTGAATTCTATCTATTGATATTGATTTTACTAGAAGTTAAAACAGGTATTTTTAAAATACGTATTCATTTGAAAATTACAGTAAACCTATACATGTTAACATAAATTTTAAAATTTATAAAAAATAACTACATATCTAAACTCAAAAAATTTAGTGAGAAAAATGTTACTATTTTACATTTTATAAGTCTAGTGTCTGGCTTAGTTGTATTTTCATATTTACTTCTATATCAAGTATATTGGTATGTGTTTTTTTGGTTGAAGTAGATGAAGAAAATTTAGCATCACAGATACGTCATAAAAGAAAGAAGTATTTTGTTAGCATTTTCAGGTAACTATGAATATACTTCTCCGATACTACACCAAACTCAGCAAGTGGCAGTTTCTTTAAGTTAACTTCAATGTGAAATCTCAACTTAAATCAATGAATTTTTCATACTTTTATACTGAGAACTGTTGGTCTGATTTGCACTTTGAGTGGATTCTCTTCCTACACATGATTTGCAATTACTCAATGAAGTATTTAGAAAATATTAGAGAATATTTAGAAAATACACTGAGATATACAGATTTTCCAAATGTTGATGTAATTTCATTATACATTAGCAAAAGTTCACACTAGTTATTGTCACCACTTATCTTTAAAAAAATAAATAAAATTTTAAGTACAGAAGCTGTCAAGCTCACAGTGGCAGATTTTCCAAAGTTCTGATTTTCATTTGAAAGCTCAAATATTATCATTGGCAACAAACATTTACAGTTGTTCTCCTTAAAGTGACATGCTCAACTTCTTCATTTTTAAGAAACTATCTGCCAAATAGTACTCAAATCTGAATATACATAATTTATCTGTGAGTTTTTCTAAGTAAAAATGATGTTGGATGGAAAGAAAAAAGTGGGTAGGTCAGTTTGCAACTCAGAAATCACACGGTGATTTTCCTCACAACAACCAACATAATTCGGTATGCAGTTGAAGCACCTTGTACCTCTGTACTCATGGGTTAATAAAAATAATTTTTACTGCTTTACGACACTTAAATGAAACTGACATTTTAGATTTTTACTCTGGGTACATAATGGTAAATTAAAAATATGACTATATTTCCTGCCATTGCCTTGATTCAGGCTAAGGCATTAGCAGTTTTACCCATCAGGCCAGCATAAGAAAAAACAAATACAAAGAACGTCTCAGTATTATTCTGAAAATAGTTTTGAACTTGTGAATCCCCTGAGTCTTAGGGATTTATAGTGGTCTGTGGCCATAATTTCAGAACTTCTGCCTTAGAGGATGGCTGAGCTATGTTACAGAAAAAGTAGAGGTCCCTGGGTGGTCTCATAAAAGAGCCACCCTAGCCTGCTCTCTAGATCACCTACCTCCAGATCATTATGTGAGACTAAAAAAAAAGGTTCAGCAGCTGACTCTGTATCCTAAATGACACAGAAACTTTTGTAATTCCCAAGTTCAAACAGTTCTGGATCTAGAAGACTGGAGTAAATAAAACTTAAGATTTTAGGACACTATGAATAGCAGTGTCCAAAACTGGTACATACCATAAGCATCTTAATGGTGTTCTCTGAGATAGAGACAGATATAAAATATATCCAATGCTCCTAAAACAGAATATTTCAACAAAGGTTGCCAGTGACAAAATGCAAATTAATTAAGTGTGTTGAAGTTAAGTAGGAGGGCATGCAGAGTATCTTCACTTGTGCTAGTACTGAAGGCTCTTATAAAATGAACCTGACAGAATTTGGAATTTGCATTGTTCTACAATTTTGTTTTGTTTTTGGTACCGGGGATGGAACTCAGGACCTTGCACTTGCAAGGAAGGCAGTGGCACCACTGAGCTAACTGGCCCCCTGACCCCACCCTGTTCTACAGTTTTTATAGGTGTCAATTACTTACTTGCTGCTGGAAAAATGTAAGCTAATACAAAAAAGGTGACAAAAACTTAATTGGTTGCCAGCTGACAGATGACTACATTTCACTTGGAAATAAGATACTGATGACACTAGTATTGATAAAAGATATTTCCAAAGTAAGAAAAAGAATATCTTCTACAGAATTTGGAGAAAATTAATCTTATACTATTCAGACTGATCTGTCAGATATGCTACAGGTCCTAGCACAAAAAAAAACAAACCCCAAAAACCTTGTTAAATATTTGGAAGTTTCTTTCTAATGTTATTAAGACAAAGTAAATGACCAAAAAGAAAACAGACACAGAACTTTTGCAAGAAAACTAATTCCAAGGCCAATTTGGGATGAATTTTCATTCAACGCTACCATTTATACCATTTATACCCAAAGCTCTATCTCTCAAGTCACATTAACTAAAATCAGTCTTCAAAAGAAGGTTCATCTCTATTTAACATATTCAGCTTAAAAACACGGGGTGGGGGGTGGGGCAGCGTGGATTTAGCTCAGTGGTTTCACAGCCTGCTGTGCAAGCTCAAGGACCCAAGTTTGATCCCTAGTACCAAAAAAAAAAAAAAAAAAAAAAGGGAGACTCCCCTAAACATCACTATTTTAAAAAAATACAGGGGAAATATGTAATTACATCCAAAAAATAAAATGTTTTTAATAAGATAAAATTGGCTATTATCCAGAACTTCATTTCCTCCAGTGTTCCAAAGAGCTGTAGTTTTCCTGAGCTGTTACTTTTGTTGGCAATTTTTTATGTGTTTATACATAGATTCCTCAAGTACTTTGTAAGCCTTTTAAGGTCAAGTGTCATGCTTCCTTCTTTGCATTCTCTGTAGACATGACACCCAAGTGTTTTGCAGATAAATATCTGTTAATTATGATAAAGCATTTATTTTTCTTTCTGGTACTTAATGACTTCCTGAATGATAACTTAAGTGTGGTTTCTATTAGTAACTCATACAGTTTTGTTCTTTCAGGTAAGGTTCAAAGCTTTAGACAGAGTCAGGAGTTATAATGTAGTTCTGACTGATTTATCCATGTGACTCTAGACATATCTGCTTTTAGGTTTACTTTTCCTTTTTTGTAAAAGAAGACTGTTTCATCTGGTATTTACTACCTCTAAAATATTTATGACTGAGGGGCTGGGGATTTAGCTCAGTGGTTCTGCCACCTGCCTCACAAGCACAAGGACCTCAGTTCGATTCCCGATACCCCCCCCAAAAAGAAACTTATGACTGAGTCTAGGACAGAACATATTCAGCCCAAACATAAGTCAAAGATATTTAGGGTTTAAAAAAGAAACCCATTAAAAGTTCTAGCATTTTGTTTTGTATTGCATCACTTTATTACATTAATATTATCTTAGATATCAAAATATTTTTATAAATATTACCATATATATTCCCGTATAGCCTTTCAGCAAGAGTAAATAATAAGTCTTATTTCATCATCCTCATTTTGTAAAGGTTCTGAGGCTGGTAAAGTGGAAGGCCAGTGAGTAAGTCAGAGAAGACACAGAAAAACTGTCATTCAGTGTCCAGCTAAATAAAATATCACTCCTAGGATAGGAAACAAATCTTTCCCATGTCTAGAATGATGATCAACAATCAAAACCAAACATACATACATAAACTTCATTACACCTCGTCTTAAACCATGCACGTCTGCTCTCAGTGTTGGAGGAACGCTGAGAAGGCCCCGTGTCTCTATCGCATCCACCCCTTTGCTACTTTACCTGCTTGTACCTGGCATATAGGTACAAGAGCTGCTCCCTGCTGGCCACCTGAATCAGGCCTTGGAGGTGTGCGGCAGCCTTCTCAAACAGCTCCGTCAGGCTCCTGGACGCCTCGGTCTCGGGGGTCTGGGGCGATTCCACATCGCCAGAGTCATCCCCCGAGCTCAGTTCTCCACCGCTGTGGACCGTGGCGGCCCCCGCGGTCAGGAATGGTGTGGCCATGACTCCCTGTGCTTCCTCGGTGTGGGGATCAGCCCTCTTTAGATCTGCTGCTACGCGGACTCGGGGCCTGGGACTCCAACTCGCTCACTCCGCGCCCCTCACCTGACGTAAGTGCCGCCTCGCTGGGTGGAGTCCCCGGCGTGCTCTGCCACCTTCCGAGGCTCTATCAGCTGCCGGCTTCCCCCTATTCTTCCTTCCACGTAACAGATCTCTGGGCGCCCCCGCGGCGCGGCCGGGGGTCGGCTTCGATGGGAAGTGCGGAAGAGAGAGAAGCGCCCGCCGGCGAGGGGCCCAGGGCTTCGGGGCTGGGCCGAGCGAGCCGAGAGGGAGAGGGGACGCGCGCCAGAGAGGACGCCCTCCCCTGCAAGGACTGGGGGATCTCACCGGAGGGACGCCACGTGGAGAAACCGCCCTCAGTCGTTGAGGTGTCAGTTAATCGCGTTGAGATTAGTCGCAAACTCCGGAACCTGCAGTCCGTATAGGGCAAGGGGGTGTGGGCAGAGGTTTAATGGTGTGCCGATAGGAACCGAGCCCTGGGAAACATGGGGCTGAAGACAAAGGTTCCGGCTGCTCCCGCCCGACCCAGATGGTTTGCTCCAGGTGCCCCTCAACAGACATATGCGTGCAGCTGTAGCGTGAGAGTTTGGGTTGTTTTGAGAAATGAACGAACTAATGGGAAGTGAAGCGTTTGCTTTCCTATTGTGTTTGTGATGGGTCCTATGACTCCTCTTCGTGTCTTGCTTTCCAATGCTGTAGACCTCTCATCTCTCAGGGTTCTGAAAATAGGCTTTATGGAGGTAACCACCACCTTCCTTAGCACAATTTACTGAACTTCGCCCCTGTGCTTTGCAAACAAAGTGAAACCAAAAAGTATGTCATAGTATTATAGACCTCTAAGTTACATAAAAATAGTAATAGGCAGTCAGACTGGGCTGAGGACTCAGAAAGTCAAAACAAAAGGTAAAACACACTACAACTGTGGCCAGGCCTCAAAACGGGACAAGAGATGAGATAAGTGATAACACCTGGTCTAGTGAAGTCTCGATAGGCATCAGTCACCTCGGTGGTTGACCAAGACCCCCAGATCCATCACCTACCTGAGAAATTCTTTGTTCTTTCCATGTACTCTTGCTGTGTGACTTTCTTCCCCCTTGGATCACTATTACTTAAGTGATTATACTTGTAACCTTATTGGTTGATCATAGCTTTGACCCATGTACCCATAGGGTTTTTGCTCTATAAAAACTTCCCTGTAAAGTGGGGTCCTCAGCCACCCAATTGGAACCTCTCCTGCCTCTCAGGAGCTATCCTCCCAATAAATATTTTCCAACACTTAACCTCTGTTGTTCCTAGTGTGGGACTGCATGATTCTAAAATCAATTATTCCCCTAGCCTCTATTGTACTTGTACATTAACGGTTAAAATGTGCTTGTTAGTTCTGGGATAATAGAATGTGTAACGAAACAGAGTTCCTAAGTAAAACTGCTCAACCCCTTGTTTGTCCAGAGAACGAATGTTCCCGGGCCCACTACCTGTAGAACAATCCATCAATGTGTCTGCTGACCATCAGTATGTGACAGTCGACCACTAACCTTTGTTCCTTTTTTTCGTAAATCTACATGTTAACCTCCCCCTCAACCCCCTATAAAACAGCCTCGGACTCTGAGCCAGTTGCCTCTCTAAGCTATTTTGCTTTGGGAGTGCCGTTTGGCCAGACTAATAAAGGTCTGTTTTATTTTCCAACTTGTCCGGTGTGTTCCTTCCCGGGTGTTCGTCACTGCAGTCAGCTCCTCAGAGCATTTGGTAAGGCCCTCGGTCTTACACTAGAATTTGTTCTTTGACTTTAGAGAACATGAACTTGGAGTATCAGACATCTGACAGGTTGAGAGTTATAATATTTCCCTTATATCATTTGGAGGTACTATTTCATGTCCTGTATCAATAATTGTAGTACAGTTAGAAACAAAGGAGCTGAGTGCATCATTCCCTTCCCTTCATTTAACTGTAAATGCCACACCACCCTAATGATTATCCATGCTTACATAATCCTAACAAGAGGTAGTACAGTTAGAAACAAGGAAGTTGTGTGAGCTACTCTCTTCAACCATAAACACAACATCACCCTAATGATTATCCAAGCTCAAATTTAGGAGGTTGCAATGCCAGAACTGGCAGATTACTGACATCAGTGAGAGAGACAGTGGGAGACACCTTGGATCCGAGGTGTCTGACCCTATAAATACTGGAAGCCTGAGTTACACAGTCCCTTCTTTTCCCTTCACCCTTCTCCTTGTTCCTGCTACTGTCCTGTGATCTTCAATAAACGTAGCTACTTAGTACATAATATGAGGTGTATGCTTGGCAATTCTTTCCTCCTGAACCCTTAAAAAATGATCACTCATATATAAGGGCATGAAAAATAGGCATTTGTTTTAGAGCACATACCTCCATACCTGGGTTAAAAGAGAATTAAAAATCATGCTCTACCAAAAAGACATAATAAGAGTGTGGATGGCCCAATCTCTGAGCAAGGGTCCCTCACACAACTGGCAAGAGAGACTCTCATCCTGAGACACAGTGGAAACTGACCTCTGAGTGACACCATGGACGGCTATCTCCAAAAGCACACATATTTATGAGCCCAAAACAATACAGCCTAAAGGAGTATCTTCAATTTGCCCTTTGCTCTTCTTTCTCTCTTTCCAGACTTCTAAAAAGTTAAAAACAACAACAACAACAATAACAGTCTGTTCAGGTCCCTTGATTTTTGGTTCAATTTTCTCACAGGCAATGCTGTAGTATCCACCATAGTGTCCTACCTCACCAAGGCCTGAGAAGGAACCTAGCATTGTGACAGCCCACCCCAACAGCATCCAAATCCTAATTCACCATCCTGCTATGCATCCCATAGATGCACCCAGAGAGAAGGTGAGATACCCCATGTCTCAGTCACCTCTCCAGGCCCCACTTCAAAATGTTGCTGCTTTGAGGATCCAGGCCTCCATGCATGGGTGCATTTTCCAGTGTGCAGTCCTTTGACTAGCCAGCACTGTGTGTATGGAACCCCAGCAATGATGATCCTGGATAGGCAAAGGCCAGATTGACTCTTGCCAATGAACTGAGTTTTCCAATGACAGTGACAAATAGATCCCCAGGATACCTGTCTTCTCATTCTTATCTGAATTGGTTGCTTGCAAGAAACTCTCCCAGTTGAAATGAGAAAGGGAGCTCACCAGACACACACAGTATGTTCCTCAATTCTCTCACAACAAATGACTGCTGGACAGTGACCACACCTTTCTCCAAAACACAAAGGTCAAACTCAGCCCCAGGAGGCAACCCATGTACCTCCCCATCTGATACCTAAGTCTCAGCGCACAAGTTTCAGATGGGTTGACATTTTTCGTCACCTAATGAGGGAAGGCGGTGGGCTGTGGTAATAAAGACCAAGTGGATTGTTCAGAAGAACAACTGCGTTGGTTGAGGAGGCTAGTCATAGATGGAAGGGTCAGAATTAATACCACAAGACATTTAAACAGTTTTGTTAAAAAGTCAGAAAAAAGAAGGGCACTTGAATTTGCCATAAATTGATTAAAACATTTGACTTCCTTTAAAAAAAAATCATGTAAAACCCTGGCAGAAACATCCAGGAACAACGACTCAAGAGACACTGAGGAAAACATAGGTCACTCATCACACAACGCTGATTCATTTATAGTCCAAAGGCTTCTCCCTTGCACAGGCAAAGCCCACATATCAAAAGGGTAACGGGCAAATGCTGAGAACACACATACACAAAAGAGAAAGGCTGGGCACTGTATGGATGATTCCAACCTTCATTCATAAAAAAGAAATACATGAAGAACACACCCAGATTCTTCTCCCCATTTCTCAGAGGGCAAATCTTTCTTTGTAGTTCAATGAGGGTGTGCAGTAGGCAGAATATGGGGGAAAGGGTACTTGCACAGCCTAGGGTTGAGTTGAATGAGGATGAGCTCCACCAAGAGCCAGGAGGAGGGACTGCAGGGAACCTCGGGGGTAATGAGTGGAATGGGAAGACAAGAGACACCTGCAGGGACCTGAAGGGGAGGGAGGGACAAAGAGGGGCTGAGAGAAGGAGGAGCCTGGTATGTGGGGCACCTTGATGGATGGAATACATCCAGGAGAAACGGAGGGATCCGAGGCCTGCCAGAAAGGACCAAGGAGACACAGAGGAACCCAAGGAGGGGAGCAATGGGAACGGAGCCTGGGATGTGGGACTCTTAATTGGACCAAGAGACCCGAAGAGAAACAAAGGGTCCCGAAGCTTGGCAGAGTGAACCCAGGAGACAGTGAGGGACCCAAGGAGGCTCGGAGGGACACGAAAGGGGGTGGGAAAACCCGAGCCTGCTGTATGGGACACCCCAACAGACAGAATGTGCCCAGGGAAAATGCAGGGACCGGAGGCCTGGCAGAGTGGACCCAGGAGATCCGAGGAGGAGCGGAGGGACATGAAGGGGGGTGGGGGCTGGGCCTCTTGTGTGGGGCACCCCGATAGACTGAAGGTACCCAGGAGAAACGTGGGGAACTGAGGTCTGGCGGAAAGGACCGAGGAGACATGGAAGGCGCGGGGGCGGGGATGGGGGGACACGACTGAGCCTGGGCTGTGGGAAGCTCAGGTGGATGAGGGGAAGGAGGAGAAACAGGTGGACTCTAGGCGAGGCACAGAGGATCGTGGAGGCACAGAAGGACCTGAGCAGGGGTCGGGAGGGTCGGGAGGACGCTAGGAGAGACCAAAGAACCCTGGACGAACCAAAGTCTGTGGGCCTGGGTCCCAAGAATGGGTGGAAGGACCCCTGGAGAGAGAAACGGAACTGAAACTTGGGGAGGAGAACAGAGGAGAGATGGAGGGACCCGGGGAAGCCCGGAGGGAAGAGTGGCATGGAGCACCTGAGGCCACAGGGTTAGGAAGGCTGGCTGGGTGGAGTGACCTGAGGTGGGACAGAAGGATGACAGGACTTTGGAAGAAATCCTAGGAGGTCCAGTGCAGGGACCCGAGCTCAAGCTTCTGGATCTGACGGGCCCTTGGGGCAGCCCTGGTGGGGTGGAAAAGCAAGATTCTGAGCAAAGGAATCTGAGTCTTGAAGAAGATACCTGCGTTGGGGGTGGGCTGAGAGGAGGCTGGACCCAAAGAGCCTAGGGTTGTGGCAGCTGAGCCAGTTTGAGGGCAGGCAGTTTAGGGCAGAGTGGGAGTATTTGGGGCAGGAAGAGGCCAAGCAGGACCCTGAGAGTGGAGGGTCGAGGCTGGGATGGGGTGGGGGAATAGAGGGCCTATCCTGGGTGCAGAAGTCCTGGGGAAGGTGGGCTGTGGGAGCTCGAGATGAAAGGAGAAGAGACAGCCAAAGCAAATTTTCTAAGCCCAGGAAGGGCAAAGAGAGGCAATGGAAGCCCAAGTCTGGTGGAAAGAGCTAGCCTATGGCACAGCGGTCAGCCAAGGCCCAGTGCTCAGAAGGTAGGTAAGCGATGTGCAGTGGAAACTGAGAGAATGTGTCCACTGGCTGGGCAGCCAGAGTGAAGAAATACACTAAGGAATTCCATCCACAAGGGTGGGTGCCAGAGCAAAAAGTGAAGAA